TCGTTTGAACAATGCAAACAAAACAAATGTAAGGATTGCAGTTATATTTTAACTAGCTGTACCCACGGGCTTTGCCCCGTTTAACTTCATAAGAGAGCTCGTTCGCATGGCTCAATCACGTCCCCGTGATTCTTCTCGTTCGCTGCGCTCACTTGCCTTCAGGTTAGCTCGTTTGCTACGCTAACTCACCTCCAGGTTGAAGTTCGTTCGCTACGCTCACCCACCTTTTGTTTGCAAATTAGCTGTTATCATAAATTTAAAAAAATAGTGCTGCACCCTGTTGGTAATCCTTGTAACTGCTATTGAACATCATAGAACAGAACCAACTTGTTTTTTTGAAACATCTGTTAAGATTCATTAATTCCATTTAAATATGAGTACTCATAAGGTTGACATGGGAAACGCCAGAGCCACTGGGGCGGAGCCGAGGGTCCGATCAGAATAAAAACAACGTAGTTTTCCTATTTAATGCCTAAAGAATCAGTGTACCAAATTTCAGCCTCCTAGGTAAATGTACCTAACCTAGGTGTGTAGGTTGTGTAAGAGAATTAGTGATGAGCGAGTGTGTCAGTGAGGGCTTTGTCTTTATATAGATGGTCACTAAGTTCTATTTTCTCACCATTCCCCTACTTTATTGCTACACCTAGTATTAAATATCTAGTTTAAAATTAATTGTAACAGGAATTCATATAAAAACCATGTTTGCGCAGAGAAGCTGTGAACAAAACTTCACCTAATTGATCAGACAGACAGACGTATCATTAAATATACCTTCAACTCGTCCATTCCTTACCTAAAATATAGTAAAATAATAAAACTCTGTTGTATTTTAAGAACTGAATTCCCCGTTCCACCTTATCTAACCGTTTAGAGATTTTAATCAAACCCTCAGATTAAAACTCTAATTAGCTGTTCGCTTCATTAAACTTGAATGGAGCGAGAATTCACTTCAATTACCAACTTTTAGTTTTCCACCTAAACTATAGACGATAACTTTACAAACTAAATTTACCAGTCTTGAGATTAATTTAGGAAATTTGTACCTTTCGATTATTTTAATGATATCCATTATATTATTTTAAATTAAGATGTATCAATAATTAAGGTGGTTCATGATTGGTAGGGGATGTGACTGAAATTTTCAGCTGATATAAAATACCCGGAGGATCCCTAGTCACACGTGTGCAACTAATTATGATCGTTTATTTTTAACTGTCTGGGCGAAGAATTTGTTATCCATAATGAGGCTAAGGTTTTTCTTTTTTTTTATTTGTAGCAAGTAAACTAGCACTAATGTTTTAAAATTAAAATTGTCGGGACCACATAAGTTTTCAGTTGAGGGAGGAGCCTATTTACCATATGGGTTTGAATGAACCAATGAGAACCGTGCGGTGTTGCCAAATCTAATAATACCAGCTGACTTGAAAATATTGCTTAGTATATTTTATTAGTGCGATGTGGCAACGTTGCACTAGCCTTGTCTTGTGATTGGCTGCCACCAACTGCAAACTTACGTGGTCCCGACAACTAGGGTGGACCCTAGTTTTATGTTTCTTGAAAATTAGCGTTAATTATAATCAATAAAAATGAAATGGAACACAATATTTTTTCTGTAGGATTTCACTTTTATATATTCAGTTTAACATTACAAAGCCAAATATATAAACTTGTGAGTGTATTTTATCAAGCTAGATGTTTCAAAAATATCCATCCTACATATTGACTTCAAACACTACGATTGAACAAATTACTTTACAATTTTACATACTTGATAAGCTTTCTTATTGCAATCAAAAACTAAAAATCCACAACTATTTGAAGTTATCATTTTGCTACACTATTGTTTTTCAATCAAATTCTGTCATACTTTTGTACTCAGTACAGTCCAACGAAACAGCATAGTCTCATTGGTTTAAAAAAAAATGGGTACAAACATTAATTTTATCCCGGTTTACCAGTGAATTAAACGGCTAAACCCACCACAATTACTCGCTATGCCAATAAAATTTTCATTTCTCTCTTATCCCGTTTAAATTTATACCCATCCATTCTATTTCAGTTTACCCTGTATAACCTAAAACAATAAACCGCTGTCAGTGCTGCCACTTACAATGTCAAGTATAGAGGAAAATATCCAACTTGCACGTAAACCATGCCGTCCCCCCCCCCCCACTATTCACCCCCCACTTTACCGGTTCCCGCGTACTCTACGTTACCGGAGGGGGTAAGCGTGATGGAGGGGTGGGTATAGAGGGTAGGTCGATACCTGCACCTGCCTGCCACTTGCTGATGATCTCTGATAATTGTGCACTTCATGCTCGCCGGAAACCTGGTGTCGTTTTTTTCGGTTTCAACTACTTTCGTAATTGACCTTTTATACTGAAGTTTAAAAAGAACCATCAAGGGACTGTGCTAAATTGCTCACTGGAATCATTGTGTCATCTTGCGAGGCTTTATTAACCTAAGTATAAATTTAAATCATGAAAAGTTGGAGCCAATTTGTTATTTAAAAGAGACATAGTCGAATAAGTCACTCCACTACTTAGGATGAAATTATTTTTGGTCATACTGCAGCAAAAACAGCAGTTTTTAACGAATGCGTTGCGGGTCTAAAGTAGAATTTTTTCTCTCTTGGGAGTAAAAATCATTTTTAATCCCTAGGGAGTAAAAATCAGCTGTTGTAATCAGTTGTAAATTTAGATTGTGGCAATAATTTTTTATCGATTGATTTATTAGGTAAGGTTTTATCCTATGTGTTGTCGATCGCTCGACATATCGATGTTATAATTACACAATCGTAATAGAAGAAATTGTTGAATCGGTTACTAAACAGCTGCTTATTTGCCTTGGCAGAATTGAAAACAAGCTGGAAGTCGTTTTGAGAGGTTATCTTTACATAAAAATTATTTAGTTTTCTACCTTAGTCTGTTAATGATGCAATATGACAAAAAATATAGTTCACCACGCGGACAAAAGGTGTCGTTTTAACCCTCGCTCATTCTCCGACCTCGGCTTCGCCTCGATCGTAAAACTCGGGTCAAAAAGAGTCACTTTACGCCCTATTGATGAAATATACTATCTTATATCTTATGCGAATCAAACGATGTTTTAGTTTGGCTTGTAAAATTTGTATATTTGACATAGATTTCTTTAGTGCACTCTTCCAGTGGCTTAATCCAACTATGTCATTGTAAAACTGAATGAAACTTATAAAACCACAAAAATGGTATGTCTATTGTTAGTTTTATTCATAGTCAAAGGTAATATATAAAACTAAACGCCCGCGTTTAGGGTTGTGTGTAATCGCAATTTTTAATCAATGTAGGCACTTAGTTAGCATGTTAGAAAAATAAGTATGAAATAGCAAAACCCCAATGAAAATGTATTATGCTCTATGCTTTTATAACCTTATCTATAAATCTCGTACTCCAAAGGTTTATAAAAAACAAAAAATGTTTTCATAGGATCTTCAACACGAAAACACTGTTTTTGAAATGTTTATTGATTTTACCTTCCTAAAAACGGTAAATCTAAGAACGCGTCTTAAATTACTGTATTTCTAAAATCATGGATTTTTTTCTAACATACATCGATTTAAATATATAAATGCATATCTGTTAGCATACATAGATTGTTCAAACAGTTTTAAAAGTTTGCGGCTATGATATATTTTTTTATAATGATCACAAATTATTTTGATCAATTTCGAATCATCAGGTCATTCAGCATCAAGCATATCCTATTTTTTTTTTTTTTTTTTTTTTTTTTTTACTAGAAAATAGTAGTATAGGCCTCTTATTATCGGTGCTACTTTTAAAATTGTAATTTGTGTTTTGGTTTTGTATCTTATTGAATAATATACCTTACAATATTATCCAGCTTGATATGACTAAATGGTTTGCTTAAGAGAAAATGATATAGCCTATTTCACTAAGTACAGGCATAGACTAACCAACACAAGTAGACTTCCCATCCCATTGAAAATTTTGAAGCACGTTTTTCGTGTCTAGTTCATGTACGTGACACAAAGGCGCTAGTGTCGATGAAACTGTGTTTCCATTATTTTAGGGTTAATTTCTTGATTTGTGCTTTACTGTTTGGTTATATAACTAGGGGATAAGTTATTGTTTATGATTAGATCGTATTATTTGGTTAAACGAGGTTTTAAATGGCTGTAATAACGGGAAACAAATTGTAAACAAAACACGACCTCTACATAAACCGTACATGAACTAACAATAAAATTGTCTTCAGCTGTTCCATAAGGATGAGAAATCTACTAAGGGAGTATGTTTTATCTATGGTACAGGCATAATATGACTGTAGTTCTTCTTTTAATTGTAAAACCGGTCACAACATTAAATTTTAAATATATAGTTTACCTCCAAAATAAGTTAGAATATCTTGATTCAAAGGTAATATCACTTACAAATTCCCTACTGACAATAAGATGTATTTTTCTATCAATGTTATTAAATGGATAAATAATATTTATTGTAGTTCGCAAATGTTGTGACCACAAATTTGCGTTTAGGCCAATCATAAGTGTGTTATTCTTCGTAGAGTTTGTACTGAAAACCTATTTATAAGTGAAATATTTAGTTCTTGTGTTCTAGTTTGCCATTTGTAACTGAAAAATGGTACTAAAATATTGGCTAGACTATTATCAATTTTTAACAATCGAAGAAAATAACTCCATTATACTAAAAAATAGTGCACTGTAGGGCGTAAAACGAGATAAAACTAAAAGCATTTAAAAGTCTATAAATTAAAAGTTTTAGCTGAGTCCTACTTTTTACTTTTCTCTGTCAGTGTGTTCTGTAGCTTCTGAAATAAAATAATTATGATAATTACTGTGAACCCCAAACAAACTATTAGTCGGTTTAAACGAGCTATAAAATATCCAATTAGTTAAATGATCTACTGCAATTAAACGACACATTACTATATTGATGACCAGATACTATGATAATTATTTTCCATTATAAACAATAATTTACCTTATAGAATTTTAGTAATTTCCAACTCCTTTGAAACCGGAAAACACACGAATGAATAGTTTAAATAAAATGTATTTTCAACCACAAACAAACAGAACGGTGTCGACGCCGATACTTCCACTACAACACTGCACGATATTAGCGTCCCGACGCTTGCGCACACTCATACGCGCACACACACACGCACACGCTTCCAACAGGTGGACTTTTACTGCGTTTCAGAACATACTGAGGTATCATGTATGAACGAACAATAAGTTCCCTTCTTGGATTGCACTATTGACAAGAATACATTCTTTTGGATGGATTTCTTCGTTCGTATTTTAACTTTTATCATTAGTAGTTAACAAATGCTTTGTTAAATAAACGTGTTTAATGCAACAGATCATGGGAAAAATAGAACAAGTTTAAAAATATACATATTTTTAGTGTCACTAGATCATTTTTTTCCGTTTTTCCAATGTGGACAAACGTACTGTTAAAGTAAGTGAACGTATAATTACGTACCCTTATTTTTTTACATTCATGATGTTTCTAAAGCGCTTAATCCCCCCCCCCCCTCTCGAATTTCTTATTATGGCAATTCCAGATGTATAATTCCTTTCCAACACGTACAGGTGCTAGGTTATAATTTGTGGTAACTTTTACCTAATTTTATTCTATTCAATAACTGTAAATTCGAACTAAACATATTTTTCGATTCCATCAGTACACAGACATTATAATTGAATGCACTGAACCTACCAATTCAGATGTAGCTGAAGTAGGAAGTGAAGGACTGCCCTGATGTGCACAGAGCGAGACAGTTTAATGATGGCAGATCTTGACATTGTATACTTTCAATCGCTGAACAGAACGATGGGACTAATAATGCAACTGTAATTTGAAACTTAAATTGAATCATGGCTATAAAATTATATATTTTGAAAATGTTTTTCAGGATCCTTGGCAATAGTCAACATTGTTGGGTGTTTTCGACATCATTTGCGATTTCCTTAAGCATTCAGATTTAAAGATATATTCCGTTTTACCGTTTTATTATGAACAATGCATAACAACAGAACGTGTAAAGTAAGCATGTCTACAGGTCCAGTACATGATTATGGTTATTTTGTTCAAAACAAGACTGTCAGAAACTCTACACCGGGTCATTTATTAGAACCTCATGCAATCATACGAGTATAAACAGTTTCATTAGAATCGTTGTAAACTTGTATTATATTTGTGGTATTTCCAAGCTATTGCGGAATATTTCTATCAATATTAGTTATCCTATAATTTTACTACAGTACAGTATCTGGAATCTGATCCAATCCTCAGGCGATAAATGAAATAGCTAAAGCTTAAAATTAGTATGTAATACTTAACCAGCTTAAGTTGGAAAACCCCATACAGACAACTGTATACCCGCTGAATATGATTTACCTACTCAAAATGTATTATGTTACAAATGTATAGCGAATTTCCCTATAGGGAAGTAGCTATTACCGTAGGTGGCACGGAAAGACCTTGGCCCGGGACCGATTTACTTTTTCGTTTTGATGTCCCCAGAGGCCAAAAACGCCATTCGTTCAATATGTTTCCGTTAACCTGATAACTCGAGTATTTTTTGTCCGATTTTGATGAAATTTGGTTTAAAGTTGTAAGGTTTATCCCAACTTGAACTAGTTCGCGAACCAGCATGATCGGAGGGAACATGGGAACGGGGTTTTATGGGGTAAAAATTGAGTCTTCTCATTTTTTACCCTTCTTGGGAGAGGAGGGAAAATGCTTTTACCTAAGCACACAGGTAGCCAGCCTGTAGTGTGAGACTCCTGAAATTATCACAGACTACTTCTCCTCATTTTTGACCCTTAAAACACAAAATTTCTCAATTTCTCTATAAACCTTTTTAAAGAGCTTAAAAACAAATAATTTAGTATAACAAAATTGTTTTTGTAAGGTTATAGGTAACGGAGAAAATTCTAATTTTTTTAAAATTTAAATTCCCATGTTATTTTTATGGAGAATATTGTAAAGTATTGTAGTTTGTTTATGGATATATTTTGATCAAATTTGGCAAATTTATTTATTTTATACTAAGCTATTAATATTTCACTAAAACCACGCTTTATTAGTTACCTTGTAGCAGCAAACCTAGGTACTCGTTAAACTTATTTAAATAGATTTAATTGAAAATCAATTCAGACAAATGGAAATTCGCTTAGTCGGTAGGTTTGCTGCGGTGGGGGTAATTCATACATAAATGTGTTATGGGAAATATTCCAACAATACATAACTCAGACTTGCTACAACAATAACAGTATCCTCTTCTAACAGAGCAATAATTACAAACACAGCCACAGCTTGTCAAATGTCTTGTGTTCTGCTCTGAGGGCTTTCTGCAATCTCCATATTCTAAAATAAATGACCATTGTATTCAACGACATTTACGAATCCAATCATTCTTATACAATAACTCTCTAATGTTAAGTTAATGTCTAGATACGGGTTCATTTTATCTTTAGTTAAAATATTTTTACTGAATAAATTATGATGATATACAACGCAAACAATGCGAAATGTAAACAAAATATGTTAAAATGCAATGTAACACTTTACGGAATATTTTTACAGATGCTATAGAGAAAATACGATAAAAAAGTATTAAAAATATACTGTACAACTAATACGAAACATTACAATTTAGTTATTTAACTTATTAGTACAACAGGACAAACCACCCAATACAAAACAGCACAATACGCACAGAACGCAATACAATACAGTACAATACAATACTGTACAATACACCCAAAGCCATCATTAGTGTTCCAAGAAGCGAAATCCCAGATTGTATTCTGTAACTATTCAACGATGTGACAGCTCAATCCATTAGTTTTGTTATAAGCAATGAATACACAAACTATAAAGGTAGGCCTAATTGTTTACACAAACCCTTAGTATATATTATAACTGACATTATGCAATGATATCACCAGACCCATCTTTTCTATATGTATTTGTTAGTTTTATTTCCTAATCGAGGTGACTACATATATAAAATTAAATAAATCGTAAAGTACCTTATCATTTTGTGAATAGACAATATATGAAGATGCATTCACCAAACAACTACGAATGAAAGTGAGAAAGTAATCAATTTAACGATTGATAGATGATCGACAGTTAGTAATTGAAAAATATGACTGTTTGTCATTCAAAATTTAAAATGAATCAATTTATATTGTTGAAACTAACCTCGATTAATTTTATTGATTTTAATTTGTTTTCCAACAAAATATGATGCATTTTAACGATTTGTTTTTAACACACAGAAACGTTTACTTAATTAAATAAATAAAATAAAATAATCAATTTCAAATATTACTTTTTACTAACCTATGAGATGTGAAAACTAATAGCCGGTTTATACTGTTCTTATTCCTAATGTTTGTTCAACAATACCAATCTATTGCCATTACACATAATATAATGATTACACGTGCTCACTCTAATCTGGACACTTGTTCAGCATGTTATAAGCCACACCACTCATCCTGATATTTCCCAAGAGCTGTTATATCTAAGTAATAATGCATTATCTACTGAATGAAACGAGGTTCCACTGTGCCATTTCATATTCCCACTTGGCATTGAGTTGCTTTTTTTATCCCAATAAGCAACAATAAATCAATTTAAAAGTGCAATACATTTTTCATTATAACAATTTCAAACAATGTTCACAACATACAACGTTCTTATAATTCACGTTATTTTAGTGTAGCATGGGAGTTAATCAGTCCGAATTGAGTGTTTTTAACTAACAATATTTTTCCTGCACCCAAATTTGGGTAAAATTATTTGCCTAGGTATCCACTGAAAACCCCAAATCTGTAGGGACATGAAAACGAAAAAGTAAATCGTGCCAGGTTCAGGTCTTACCATGAGACCTGTGGTAAGATTGGTATTAGCTTCCCCATGCCAAAATGTTTGTAGCCTAAATTTATTGGTCGCAGGCTAATGCGCAAACATTTCTTTTAAGTACATCAATGTAGGTGGTTTGAGGGAAATTCCCCCACTACTTTTTTATTAATATAATATGATGCAGCTGATTGACGTTTTAGCAAACCACAGCTGTAGAGCTATTATTTTGGAGGTAGGATTGATATCTTCCACTAAAACCACTTAAACTTTGTGAAACGTTTGAGTAGAGTTACACAAATAACTATTTCTTCCCCGAAACAAAAAAGGTTTATTTTCAGTTCAGCAGGAGCACTGATTATCTATTCTATTTATGAAGAGAAATATTGTTTTAACAGCAAACTTTTAAAATAAACGAGGGGCCCGGACCTAAAACTCTCAATAAAGCATAAAAAATAATCTTGCCTAAGTTTTATAATTCATTTGCTCAAAGCTTTGTGATGGAAAGGTTTGATTAGATTCTAAAACACACTAAATCCTCAATCATGATCAATTAATGTTAAAATACATTAACTGTGTCACCCACCACAGACGGCGTCAGAAACCGTTTCAGATTATAGCGAACACTATCTGAAGAGCCATAGCAATAACAATTAAATTTTACAGACCCAATACAATAAGTATTATAACCTACAGCTTGCATAACTAATAGTATGACTACAATAATTTAATATAATGAATAATTGTTTATGACGTATCGGCCCTCCCCCTGATATTGATATGTTGTCTAAGCATACTTTACTCTCATTGGTTGATTGGCTGAGCTCCCAAGGGTCTATTTAAAGGGTTATATGTCCAGTAAGCCTGGTAGTTATTCATTTCTGGTGCATTTTGAAAACATTAGCAATTTTATGTATTACAGGCCTATAAACAACCAAAAATAAAATTGTTTATTCAAAATGAATAACCACCCGTCATTATTCCATTATAATACCTAACTATTTAGGTACATAATGAATTTGTGACATTGGTCCTTTTTGTTTTAATTTCTTTAAGATTTACTTTAATCCAATTCAAGTTTGTCTATACACAATGTTTAATCTATTTTAATCGAAGGCACACTAATTTTCAGTTTAAAACCTCCGGTACGTCAAATTGCTTAAATAACCCTTAGCTTCTCGTAATTGTAG